CTATCCATGCTTGTAGCTGCCACCACCTCCTGTGGCAGTGAATTCCATGTGTTAACCACTGTTTGGGTGAAGAAGTACTTCCTTTTATCTGTTCTAACCTGACTGCTCAGCAATCTCATTCAGTGCACACGAGTTCTTGTATTCTGAGAAACGGAGAAAAGTACTTCTTCCTCAACCTGCTCTATCCCATGCATAATCTTATAAACCTCAATCATGTCACCCCTCAGCTGTCGTTTCTCCAAGCTAAAGAGCCCCAAGCGTTTTAACCTTTCTTCACAGGGAAAGTGTTCCAACCCCTTTATCATTCCAGTTGCCCTTTTCTGCACTTTTTCCAATGCTATAATATCCTTTTTGAGGTGTGGTGACCAGAATGGTACACAGTACTCCAAATGAGGTTGCAGCATTGATTTATACAGGGGCATCATGATACTGGCTGATTTGTTTTCAGTTCCCTTCCTCATAATCCCCAGCATAGCGTTGGCCTTTTTTATTGCATTGGCACACTGCCTTGACATTCTAGTTGCCCTTTTCTGCACTTTTTCCAATGCCACCCTTCAAATCAGCCATTTCCTCCTGGGGAACCATTGTTGCCAATCTCTGGGTGAGGGCTGGGGATCACTCAGAATTACAACTGTTCTTCAGATGGCAGAGATCAGCTTCCCTGGAGAAAACTGTGGACTCTGTGTCATTATTGATGCTGAAATTTTCATTGTCATGTTTTAAAAAAAAGGGGGGGGTTGTTCAGAGTTTGCAAAAAGACTGGAAATTATCCCCTGTATCCAGCCACTCAGTTCCAAAGACTAAGATTTCTTAAGAGAGAGGGCAGCAATTTCTACCGTCTCCTCTCCCACTGCAATTTTGTTCCTAGTGGTCAATGGACCCTCAAGAACAGTCAAGTGGAGGTCTACAGTAGGAAAAAGGAAGCAACATAAATCTATTTCATTAGGCTTCTCTACCACCTCAAGTGCCTTCTCTGCCCTCTCTTAAGAAAGCAAAAGAGCCCTTTGGAATGTGATTGGATTCATGTGCGTGTACCTTTAGAATGTGTGTGCAACCTTCCCCACTCACTGTACCTAGAGGTAAAACAGACAAGCAGAATCCCTGCATGATATATTTGTTGCTGTGCTCGACCAGTGCAAACAGCGGATTAGGGGTTTGAACACTTGAATACTTTCCTATGTAAAATATTTCCTTGATATATAGAAACGAGCGTATCTAGGGAAGCCCACCCACATCCCAGTACCGTGTGCTGGATTTACATATATATGCTACAGTCCTGTTATCAGGTACACATTGTGGGGATGGTGCTTTATCCCATGGGAAAAGGAAAGGGAAGAAATGAGAGGAGATTGACAAAAATCACAGTCAAGGCTATGGTACAATGCCATTGTGAACTAAATTAATGAGAAGTTTCTGAACCAGTTCATACTGCTGGGGAAGGAAGTAAACTCATATGACTGAAGGCACTTTCATGCAAAAAAAAATAAAAAATCCAAACCCCCTGCACACAGAAAATGAACATGTCTGTTTAAAAGCTAGGTGACAACCATTCTTCCTGACAAGCTAGTTTTCTATATGAAGGGAATATGGGGGGGGGGGGTGCGGCAGGGGAATGGAGGAACATTCAGTCATGACAGCTCTCAGCTGCAGAATATAGTACAATCCATTCAGGTTATCCATCTTTATAGAAATTAGCCCTATATCAAACCAGTGTGGGCTACAGCCAAGGCCACTTTTATAAAGCTCCTGTTAAACAACTGCTCCCTCTACCTCACCATCGCATCACCACAAAAAAAGCATTCACACAGTTCTTTTTCCAGATATTCTAACCACTTCACACAGATACATCAGGAACAGTTCCTGTCTGTAAAAAGATGGGGGAAAGAATCAACCTACACTAAGGGTCTGATCCTCTTTTTCTTTCTTTTTTTGGTCACAACTGACATGGCAACCTAGTAAGGCAGAAGACGTTCAGAGGTGGTTTCCTATTGCCTTCTTCTGCATCAAGACCCTGGTCTCCCATCCAAATACTAACCAGGGCTGACCTTGCTTAGATTCCAAGATCTAATGAGATTGGGCTAGCCTGGGCTATCCAGGTCAGGGTTTGATTATCTACAGAGACTAGAACAACTGGATGCATACTGGTGACCTCTCAGAGTGCCTGTGCAGATCAAGAGAGCCAGGTCTTTCAAGGATACTCTGTGCCTCTTCCCTAACTGATTGGTGTTCACTTTAAAAAGAAAAAACTGACACTTTTATTTATAAAGATATAAGGAAAATGTTCTTTCTGACTCTGGGGCAAGTGATGCTCTGTCATCTTGGTGCTTGGGGGGGGTCAACAGTGGGAGGGCTTCCAATGTCCTGGCCCCACTGGTGGACCTCCTGATGGCACTGGTATTTCTGGCCACTGTGTGATACAGAGTGTTGGACTGGATGGGCCTTTGGCCTGATCCAACATTGGCATCTCTTATGTTCTTATGAAAATCATATAAGTAGTTTTCTACCCAACTGTTCATTTACAGGAAGGCAAAATCAAGATCATCTAAACAAATGAATGGAATCTCACCTTCAGTAACAAGAAACTGGATGACTGAAGTCATATATTTTTAAAATTTATTAAAACACATTAAATAACTCAATTCATATACATCAGATTACTAAAGTATTTAAGGTTTTGGCATTTCACAATGACATACAATGGTCTCTCCGCATCAGCCTTAGACCCACCACAACCTCTAATGCAACCGAATTACCACATTTGGGATCAAGAAGAAACTTAATAGCAGGTATAGCAAAGACCCTAAGGCTTAGGTGCTAAACACACTAAGACACAAATCAGCAAGTCAGTGGTTCAAATCTTACTTCTGGAAGGAATTCACAAAGTAGCCTTAGGTAAGCCTTAGGTAAGCCAACTCTGAGATGTTAGGGAGGTAGAGCCTGGGGAATGGGAGGGGTTGGGAGCAAGGGCACGGTAAGGGGGCAGTATTGTGGTGGTGATGTCACCTCCAGGTCCCCCCTGGAAGGAGTGGCAAAGTGTCCCTGCCGGGTTCTGTCTATTTCATGCACCCACCCCACCCCCGTCACCTGGAGTAGCAGCAGGCAATGGCAATTTGGGTCAAGGGATACCTACCCCGACCAGGAGAATGGCATCCCTACTGACAAGAGTAGGGTTTGGAGAAGAGCGGGACCCTTGTGGGGCACAATGTCAAAGTTTATCATCCAAAGCAGTTATTTTCTTCACGTGAATTGATCTATGTAGTCTGGAAATCAGTTGTGATTCCAGGAGAATATCTCCCGCACCTGGAAGTTTGCAACCCTGTAAGTAAGCCATTTTCCCCAGCCCCAGGTCTCTGATCTGAAATACAGAGAGATAATACTGGCTTACCTTACAGGGTTGCTGTAAGGATTTCAAGAAGATATGGGTTGGATCCTGTGGAAGACTGCCTTTGAGGGAAGGAGGGATTTTTGCTGATTTCTTCCCTTTGGCCACAGACTTCCAACTCCTCTCTCATGCTGTACTTGTGAGTCCTCCCGTTCCCCAGGGGCAGCATTTGGGGCTGCAGCAGGATGAGAATAGGCAAGGATGTTTCCGGCAGGATTCAATCCAATGTATGTGAAATGCTATGAACATCCTCAAGTGCCTTATTTGCTAAGAATAATTAATAAAAATTCCTTAGTCATGTTCTGAATTATATGCCTGGAGGGTAGCAGCTGTCACCTTTACTGTGTGATGCAGAATTTTGCTTAAGCTTGCCAGGATTCTCCCCCCCCCCCACTAAAACTTTTCCTTACTATCAAGTTCATCAGATTTGATGCATCTTCCATACTTGCTATACTGCAAAATGGATGATGAGAACAAATGTGTTGCAAGGTACTTGGGGAAATAGAAAAGAGGATTGTAATTAACCACTTGCTTGGTGGTCTGTGCTGAGTGCAAAACAGCCCCCAAACAGCAGTATTTCAAATCAGAAAATGTTTATATTTCAGGCTGTTAATATGTTGTTTTTAATCATTATATTTAAGCAGGCTTTCTAATGAACAAGGAGGACTTATTAACTTTGAAGGACTTATTTACAAAGCTGATACAGAGGATCCTCTCTGAGCACAAAGAATGGGATGAGATTAGCTTCAGTTCCCTAGTATCCACAGGTTCAAGTCTACAGTTCTTTGAAATCATCTTACATTTTTTTCCTACAGCAATAATACAGCGACTTGATTTGAAATTTCTGCTTCTATAAAACTGCTCCCTATTCAGGCTGCATTTGGAAATTTTTCAAAACACAGCAAAACAACATTTTAAGCAAACTGTGGTCCTGGCAGTGCTTCCAAGTTTGTTTCTTTGCCATCACATATGCTTTACTATTGATACAAGTCCACACCCATCTCTAGCCCATAAAAAAAGATATGCATTGAACTGATAATATATACAATTTAAAGGGCAGCCTCCTTTGTTAATGCCAAAACTGTGCACTTTCAAGAAAATACTACAGAAACAGTGAGCTAATACCCAGTTCAGTTCTAAAGCCACTGAGTACTTATGGATAAACTGGTGTCTTGTAATTGGCAACCATTTTTGACCAGAACAAAAGCAGATTTAATATTGTATGCTGGAGTTCAAAAATAATACTTTAGTAGTATAATAAACTTGTAGGTTAATAACCGGAAACCATTAAAAAGAAGAAACAGTCACCAAATGAAGCGGTAGACCACAGTTGGCCAATGTGTGGCAAACATACCACAAGTGACATGCCTGGCAGGAACATGAATGTTTGAAAGCCTGGTTATGGTATATGCTGTTAGATCTACATTCCAGCCTGCCTCCCTCCCTCATGTTGCCTGCTGCCTGCTCAGCAGACTTGAAACAAAACCACCCCAAGTAGACTAGAGACAAAACCACCCCAAAGCGTGATGGGGATGCATTGCAGTGTGCGACAGAATGGCACTAAACCATATTTTGGACATGACTTGTTATACTGGTAAAACACTGGTCAGTCCAGCAGCTACACAGAGGGGATTGGAATCTGTTTAGCAGAAGTGCTGTCAAAATCCCGCACCAGATCATTAGTGGTGTGGTAGTGCATGGCAACGAAAGACTTGGCAAAGCCAAATGGAGAGTTGGCCGGCTGCAGGCTATTTGGAGTGCTCACTTCCTGAGAAGGGCAGCTGTTATAGATGCTATAATAAGGTTCAATGCGGGTGTTCATGGGAGTGGAGCTACTCTGGCCTCCATAATGCTGGTGGCACCTGGAAGCCTTAGGACTCAGCACGCTTTCCTTGGAATGACTGGGGCCACAAGCCTGGTCCACAAACTTTTTCTGGGGCTTCGGAGACAGCATGTAGGCCGAGTTGGTTTCATGATGGGACGATTTGTTTCTGTTTGCCTCCAGGCTCCCTTTGCCGACAGCTCGGAGCCTAGTTTTCTGCTTGCAGCAAAAAAATATCAGGGCTAAGAACTGGAGGCACCAAAGCACCCTCCTCCTCAACCCAGCACTGTTACGTGAATATATAAAAGGGTTTAATCCAGACTTGAAAAAAATGAGGGTAAATCCACACAATTCAAACTGGTAAAGAATAAAGCCACTGTTCCTGGATAAGACATCCTGTACCAAGGAGATACCCAAAGGTAGGCAGCAAACTAAGACTGAAAGGACAATCACCACGCATGTCACTACAGCTTTGGAGTCCTTGGCTGTGGACAAGTTAACCGTAGACACCAGCTGGAATCTGCTGGCTGCCGGCGCAGACAGCTGGCTGAGGTTTTTCATGTATGCATGGGTCTGGACATGCTGCAGCTTATTGTAGTTTTGGTTTCTATACAGAGCTGGCATAGTGCACTGTACCCCATCAGCACACCCCGTTACAAGTGGCCCAATGAAAGGCTGAGGCCTAGAGGCATCCACTGTGATGACTGGAGGGCATTTCCTGACTTGAGCATTTTTCCTCAAGGCTTGGGCTATCATGATGTAGGAGACTGAAACCACCGTCACACAGCAAATGAAGTCAATCACATACAAGTAAGGGATGATCTTTCCCTCTCCACTGACTAGGCTGGAGATGGGAAGGCACAGGCGGGATTTATGGGTCCTCATGGTTGCCAGTGTGGCAAGAGTGAAGCTAGTAGCCCATAAAACCAAGGTAAGCAAGAGGGTGCAAGGGAAAGAAGCGGTCCGGTTGGGCTGCTTCCCTAAGACCATGCGCAGTCGGTGAAGGGCGATGACAGCCACAGTCTTGAGAGACATGATGATGAAACCAGAGCTGGTGAGGTGAAAGGTGAAGCAGAATGCATCAGGGATGCCAGCTGCAGAGTCCAAGAAGAGGGCAAACGTGAACATGGGGGCAGTCACTCCACAGATGAAGAGGTCACAGAACGACAGATTGAGAATCATGAAATCAAAGTTGGTCCTGAACTTCCGGAAGGCCGGGTCAAAGAATGATAAGAAGACAATGAGATTGCCATAGGAACCCAAGCAGAAGATGACAGCCAGGAGGAAGGTACATGTGACCAGAGTGGCTGTGTGAATAATCTCCTGGATATCTCCTTGGAAAGAAAATGTGTCATTGCTGGTCCAGGAGCGCGGTGGCAGCTGCGATGAAGAATTGGGCTGGTCTGTCCACTTTGCCTCAGCCCGACCTGTAAGGTTCATCCTCAAGGAAATAAGACTCTGCTATCCCAGCTGATGGTTGGAATCAAGCACCTCACATTAGAAGTTTGCGACAAGTGAAATCCATGGTGGGTGGAGCCTGTTAGTACAATGACAAGCCCCCCAAGCCAAAAATAAAGTTAACAGACAATATAATCTACATGAAAGCTTGCCCTTGTACCTCCTCTAATAGCTATGTAATACTACAAATGGAAAGGACAGCATGTCTGCCAACTCTACTGCACTTCTTAAAAGTACAGGAGGTATTTCAGGCAGAGAAGACAGTAACCTTACTGAAAACAGGTTAACTCTGAGATGCTATTATTAAAAATCAACAGAGAAATTGAATTTACGGAAACAAAATATGGAGAAGCTTTTCACCTGGATGCATTTTTGACAGCCACATGCTATCTTTTCCCTCTATCTGAGACAATATGCGGTTAGAGTCAAAAGTGGCCACATATTTAGCCTTTATAACCCCTGGCATTGCACCAAATACTTCTGCTCCTTGTTCTTTCAAGAAGGCAAGTGGAAGGAAGCAGCTAGCTCAGAGTTCTTGCTTTGCATGCACCCTCTTGCCCCAAATGCAATTCCCAGTATCTCCAGCTACCGTCTGGTCTAAAGTTGTTTCCATCCATTATCATGGAAGGAGTTAAAACGATGTTTTCTGAAAATACATCCAAGCGAATGAATATGGTGGAGAACAGAAGCGAAAAGGGAGGGGGGGGGATCCCCAGTTAACTGGCCAGGACACCTAGCACCTCCACACGGTGTCTGACTCTATGGCAGTGACCTGGAGAAAGGGGTCCACTTCTCTCCCGGCCACACACTAAAGAAATCAGTGACCAGCATCATTTTGGCCTAGCAGTGGGGAGCTGGACATTTCTCACACTCCCCGGGAATCCGGTATCATTAAGGGAGAAAAAAAGAGGTTCGGGCCTAGGAGTCCAAGAGGGGCGAGTGGGGAAAGAGCGAGGAGACCTTAATCGGTTGGGCGGCTGTGGGCCCCAGCCCGCTAGAGCGCAGGTGCGCGTTGGCCCGTCGCCAGAAGAAAGGCAGCGGCCCTTGCCAGGCAGGCCGAAACTGCGCCCGGGGCGCACGCAGCGTAGCTGGGGTTGAAGGAGGGCTTCCCCCCGCCTTCCCCCCGCCTTCCCCCTCCCTCTCCTTTGGACTGCATCCCCTTCCTTACCAAGCGCTAGCCACCGCCGCAGTAGCTCTTGGCCGGCCAGTGGAGGCGGCGAGCGCCGCTTGTGGCTCGCAGTGGTGAGCAGAGAGCATCCCCAGGCCGGGCTGCAGAGCGCGCCAGCTGCGGTCGCCGGCTGAGGCTGAAGTCATCGCCGACGTGCGGGAGCTGCTCGGGCCGGCTCGCGCGGTCGCTGCCTCCCACCTGCGGGGAGGGAGGGGGGACGAAAGGGCGGGAGATGCAGCCGCAGCCACCACCTCCTATAGGAGGTGGTGCCCCAGCCCCCCGCGCCGCGTGCACACTCACGCGCGAGCTGGCGCCTGACACGCCGGCTGAAGGGCTCGCGCGGTCGTGAGGCGGTGCTGCTGCGTGCAGCGGCCCCGGTTCGCCTTGCAGGCTGTCTCGTTCCTTTGCAAGACGCGCAGGCAGGCACAAGCCCTCCTCACGCTGCCCCACGTAGCACAGGCAGGCTGAGCTGGCGTTCCTCACAACCAACCACCGCGCTCCCAAAGGACGTTCTCCGACCCGCAGCGTGCAAACGCAGTGGTAAACACGGAATTCTCGGGCACAAAGCCGCCAGGGTGCCAACCGGCGCAGGCTGCAGGCAGGCACACACGTACAACACAGCAATTGCACATTCTCACGACCGTTGGCTCAGCAGCAGAACCAGCTTAAAACGCAGCAACGGTGAGCATGTTTTGCTTTTCCTTGCGCAGAAACATGGCCTAACCTGCAGACCCCAGCCATCTCCACTGGGCGGCAAGGTACGCGCCAGATGCCCCTTCGGAAACTAGGACAGGCACCGACAGTCTCCTGCTTTCGGGTACCTCTCGGGGAGGGGGAATCACTAGTTTTAAAAGAGCGATTTGAGCGATGTCTTAGACTTAGAGGATAGACAGATCTTCCTGCGGCTCCTGGCCGTAATGGCTAAATGGACACCGCTTTTTCAAACGCAGTATGCTAGTTGCTGAGATAGTGACAGTGAAGGTGAGCTTCTGGGTCTCCCAAGGCGATTGCCACTAATGGGGGCCTTTGGAGGGAAGGCAGGAACACTCAGGTAGCCCTCTGTCGTATCTGGACCCAGAGTATATATTCCAACTGTCCTCGTTTATTTTGGACAGTCTGTTTAATTTTTAAAAAAGAAGAAACCTATTTTATTCCAGGTTGGGGGTTGCTGATTTTCCATGCATCCTTTCTCTACTACCTGTTTTTCTATTTTTAAATTATGCCACCTCTCCAGGAACCTATTCAAGGCAGCTTATAAAATAATAGTAAACATTAAATAAAAACAAAACATTAACAATATTAAGATCCAGCACTAAAAAAGCCCAGCATAAAAACAGACCACTGGCAGCTTAAAACAAGTTTCCAGACTAAAACGGGATTTATCCTCTGGTTACAAGTAACATCTGAGCTGAACAGGACTGCTGTCAGTTCTAGCCCGCTGGTGTGAGCTACCAGCCTTGTCCCCAGCTCGCTGTCCACCCAGCGGTTCGAAAGCTTTGGCGAGTAGATAAAATGGGTACCACTTCTTAGAGAGGGGCGGGCACACCAAAACACCCCTATGGGGGAGGTGTTAGCCGGCAAACGGAAGGTTCGGCTCACAAGCTCAAAAGCCTAGAAAATCTCTTCGGCATCAAGAAGCCTGTAATGGGCCGTTCCGGCCAGGCGGTGGCAGTATGGAGCTGCGACCCGAAGAGTCCTGGAGAGGAAGAGCTGACGTCATCCAGCCAAGCCAAGCCGAGTGGGGAAAATGCTGTCCGGATCACGTCTGAGTTGCAACTGAACAAATCCCCGTCGGCTGCAAAACGTGTGCTATGTAAAGATTATATGTGTGGTCCTCCCTTACCCCTATAAAGCATTGTTAGTCCCTTCTGAAATGAGTAACTGTAAATCGCTCAGAGCCAGCAGCTCTGCAAGGTTTGAGCGATCACTAAATTGAAATTGCTTTGTATTGTTTTAGATGTGACAATCGGTATTAATTGTATACTGGTTGTAACCATTGTGAGCCGCCTCGGCGGGAGGGCAGGGTAAAAGTCTAACAAATAAATAAATAAATAAATTTTCATTCCCCTCTTTCCCCGCCTCCGTTTCTCTTGCCCAAGGAGAATTCCAGGAACTCAAAATCCCCCCCTGCTTTTCCAAGCCACACTAGCTCCTTCCAGCCTTGCAAACAGCATCCTCCTCTTGATGGCCAGCATATAAGGATGCTATGCCTCCAGGTGGGGCCTGGGGATCCCCTGCACTTACAGCCAGTGTTCCCTCTAAGCTGAGTTAGTGTGAGCTAGCTCACAGGTTTTTAGCCTCTGGTTCACACATTTTTGTCTTAGTTTAGGGAGGATGGCTCCAGAGCAAACTAATTGATGCAGTAGCCAAATTGCTCACTAAGAACTTTAATGCCAGTAGCTCACAGAGTAGAATTTTTGCTCACAGGACTCCACAGCTTAGAGGGAGCATTGCAGAGTTACAGCTTATCTCCTGCCTACATATATCAATTCCCAGGCATAAAGTGAATGCAGTGGAAGGAGGACTCCATGGCATTGTACTCCATTGAAATCACTGTTCTCCCCGGATGTAGTGATCTCATGTATCTCAGTGGTCCAGGCATCCCAATGGGGTCGCTATTGAGCTGTTTTGGGGTTGTGTTACAGCGCCATAGTGCTCTCAGAAGAACGTTAAGAAAAAAAAAGACGGAGATTGCCCACACGGGCGAAAAAGGACGCGAAAACCTCGTAATCGGAGGAAATGCTATGGGGGCATTTTACACAGCACCCTGTAGCGCTTCAGGAACGGTAGAAGAAACTAAAGACTGCTTGAAAGCAGTTTGCAGGTAAAATGGCTCAGGAACGCTTCCCAAATGGGACAGAAGCGTTTCTGTCTGAAAGGGGAAATGTATTCCGTCAGGGAACTGTTACTAAAATGGTTCTGTCTGAAATGACAGACAGAAACCGTTAGTGAACAACATATCAGCTGTCTGAAATTCCCCTATAGCTTGGTTGCTGCATTTTGGACCAGTTTAACCAGTTTGGGACCAGTTGAAGTATCCATTTGCAAAGGCAACCATGTATAAAATACATTACAGTAAACCTGGATGTAATCAGAGCATGGATCATTGTGGCCAGAACATATTTTAATTTTTTTTAAATTTTATTATTTCAGTTTACATCCCACCCTTCTCGAAAGCAGGGTGGGTCAAAACAATAGATTCCAGTACAGTCTTACAATGATTCAGTTAATATCAAACATTAAATTAGTACAATAAACACAGTCAAAGTGGGCAGTGCAGCAAATTTCAGTTTTCAGTTCCCACAGCTGGGAATGAATGGGCCGAAGCTCAGGTCTCATTAACAGCAGCATACCGCAACAGCAACAGGGAGGCCAGCTGGTAAATGCCTGCTGCCTCGACCAAAGGCCTGGCGGAACAGCTCTCCATCTTGCAGGCCTGGAGAGCCCTGATCTCAGTCAGGAGCATATTCCACCAGGCTGGGGGCAGGGCCGAGAAAGTCCTGGCCCTAGTTGAGGCTATGTGAATGTCTTTCAGGCTGAGGACAACTAGCAGATGGTTATCCACAGAGCGCAAGGCTCTCTGAGGCATGTATGGGGAGAGGTGGTCCCTGGCCGCCAAAGGAACAGCCACAGCTGCTGTATTGGCTGCAGCTAATAAAACACATCATATGCCACAGAGGAAATCTGGACCTCCAATGGGACTATCCAAATAGGAAATGTTGTTGAATATGTCTGAGAGACTACATAAGGATTGTTTAACACTTTCCCATAACACTGAAGATTACAGAACCCAGAGAAGGTGACAGGCACTATACTCAGGACAGACAAAAGGAAGCACTTCTCAGAACACATAATTAACTTGCAGGATAATCCAATTAATCTATGAGACTCACTACCGTGGGATACGGTGAATGACAGCCACTAGCTTAGACAACTTTTAAAAGGGATTTAACAAGTTCATAGATCAAGCGATGGGTATTAGCCAGGACTGCCTGCACGTTTCAAAAACCTCTCAATACTAGTTTCCAGAAGACAGCAACAAGGAGAGGTTTTGACCTCTGTGACTTGCCTACAGGCCTTTGGAGGAAAACAGGATGCTGCATTAAGCTGGTCTTTGGTGTGATCCAGCAGGGCTTTTCTTGTAAGTTGCAGCTACTCTGTAATAACTACAATCATGCCCATTGTGAGTTTCAGCAATCAATGAAATAACCTTAAGGTTCCAAAAACTGTAAAAGGACCAAAAACGAGGAGAGAAAGCTTTAAAAATACCAAAATGCAAAATATTATGGACAGCTTACTATCACATCTGCTTAGAAGCCAGTGTACAGCAGGCTGCTTAAGCATGTGGAAAAGAGGCTTCAGCAATGTTGGGTGAAGGCAGAGCTTATGCAAGGACACGAGCATGTCCCCGTTTTCCTCTGAAATTTTACTGCCCAGTGACAGGCCCCCTCCTTCCTACTGCTAAATGCCACCCATCGCCAAGACATCAGAAGGAGATCCAGAAGCAGTATCATGCCTCCCACCAGCCAGTTCCAGCTGAGGACATAAACCACCTACCCATCACCACAGACAAGGCCATCAAGGCAAGGGAATAACACATTGGGCCTGAATCTAGCTCAGCTGAAATCCCCTTCTCTAATGCGAGAAAGCAAGATAAAGTAATAATTAAAAAAAACAGGATGCAAACTGACTGCCAGACTAAAAAGATCTTGGATCTGATCCAGCAGGGTTCTTGAGGAGAGGTCATGGCTCAGTGGCAGAGCATCGTGTTAGCAAGCAGGAGACCCCAGGTTTAATCTTCAGTTAAAAAATCTGGCAGTAGGTGCTGCGAAGGACCTCTGCCAGAGACCCTGGAGACCGACTACCAGTCTGAGTAGACAGTACTGACTGTAATGGTCTGATTCAGGATTGGGCAGCTTCAAGAGTGTAGTTTGATTCTGTGCTTCCTTCCTGCAACATGTGCTCATACATGTATACAAATCTATGCATTGAAAGAAATCCCCAGCGCATTGTAGGGTGGTGTTTTCCACCTTCCCATCTGCTGTGACAAGCAGTACTCTAGGAGTAGCCCCAGAGCATCAGGGAAGAGGGAAAGAAAACAAAGATCGGAGGAACGGTTGGGAGAAGCCAGGGCTGCCTTGTCCAC